ACCGGTTTAAGATAACCACCATGCACCAAACATGCAGGTTCGACTAATTGAATTGATTGGTTTAGCAAGCATTTTCCGATATCAGTTCACAAAATACTCTCGTCAAGAGGCCGACAAACGAAATATATAATTAACTATAGAAACCGAAGGCGAGAGTTCAACTTTTGAAAAGTATTTTCTTTTTTTCAAAGTAGGTTATAAAGTATAGGTCGACCGTGTAATATTGTGTGTGCATGAAATTAAAAAAGAGCTGCCTGAATTTTTGAGATTCTTTTTGATTATAGTACAATTTTGATTAGACCAGTTTTGTTTATGTTCTACCCGGATTATATTTTTTTGTCTTTAATCGACAATGCTCTTGCGGGAAGCACTTAAGACATCTGTAAATTCAGTTATGAGTTGACACGTGCTGACGCGATTGGAAAGATTATAGATAAGATTTTGGAGTTACGTTACGTACGTATTATAACATATATAAGAATTACAGGAAATCAATATGTTTATGAAGTATCATATGTTTAACACTACAAGCCATGACTCCAGGTTCAGTAAGAAGGTAACTTGCTTTTCAAGCATTCAAACATTTCGAAACATTTGGCAAATTAGCAACCACAAATATAATCAATCGACTGGAACAGCGAAGAAAATACGTTCTATGAAGAAGGCTAGAGACTAGAACTGTGAACAGCGATCAATCCCAAAACACATTTTTTGTATATTATCTGGCTATAACTAATTCCTGCGCATAATCTCTTCCTTTTATAACAAAAATTGTCCAGCTTCCTCCAAAGATAAGCCTATGTAAACAAATTAAGAGAGGAATTATTTTCTGTAGTTCATTATAGGTGACGCGTTTAAAAATTATGACATGAATGCAAGTATAATGCAGTTGCATTTTCACCGTGAAATATACTCGAAATTTTGTTATGCAGTTAAAATGCGATATCTAAGTAAAGCCTCGTTTCCATATTGTCGTGAACAAGTCATTTTTCACAGATGAGAAATATAGTCTGGATCCAAAGTCATTATTCAAATTTGTTTCTACAGTATATTTCGAAAGTCTTGTTCCCAGGCTTCTAAGCCACACCACGCTGAATTTTACATATAGATATTAGAGAGAGAGAGAGAGAGAGCACTGGCCGTTAAAAGATTGCGACCAATGATGTGCTGGAGATGAGTGGGGGCGTGGGAGCGATAATACATTAACTTTCCTGAATGTCTCTGGCGACTTTATTTTTTCAAAGTGCTATATACTTACGAACTTCTGGTGAGTTCCAAGGAAAAATTGTGACATATCTACACCCAAAGTGGAAGATCAAGGTATTTAGATCACGGAAACTGCATGTTCAAACAAGTATCACCATAGATTTAGAGATAAAATTGATTACAATTATTTAACCATCTATATATATAATTTCCGAAAATACAAATATCACCCTTGTTATACCCTATTCCAATTGGTTCATATACTGACTATAATCTATGAAAGGGCAAGTTATAGCTACCTTTCATTAAGCTACTTTTTATTTGGTAATAAACTTTATTTTGAATTCTTATGTGCTAAAATTATATCAAACTTTTCATCTTGGTTATAATTAGAACGGCCAACTGTGCAGTCTACGGGGTACCCTGCTTCTCCTATAGTGCTTGATATGCAGTCTGTTGTATTCTTTTGTATATTTATGTCATTAAAACGATACCATCGTCTCATCCTATATATCACGCTGCGATCAAATTTTGTTTGTCAGTTCTGCTATCCGATTATATGAAAAAATGCGATATAATTTGTGTAATTAAAGTATGAAACTTACACGGAGGCTGTGTCTTCAAAGGATTGCATGATCAGCATGAATCACAATTATACCATCAGTGCATCGTGACATTGCCTGTGAAAAGTCGAGATCTGGATATACAAGCCAAGTTCTAAGCCATTAAAATAGTTGAAAATATAGGGAAACATTTATGACTGATAAAATTATATAAAAAAGAGAATTATATCAGAATGAGTCTGAAACTCTGAGAATTCATATATTCTTTTGCCTTCAATTATTTTATGCTATATTTCCCCTGAGTATATACGTTAATAACTTAATAAATCGTTTTATAAGATTATCGACTTATCGCAAATGTTCTAAATATTTTCTCGCAATAGCTGCATACATGCCTAAATCTTACCTTGACTGTGAAACATTTAGAACGAAACAGCATTTAAATATATTTTTATGTGAACTTTACGATTTTGTCAGCTTTACATTCTTCACAGATTCCAATCATTCATTGTTACGCGATAAAGGAGCTTTTAACAATCCATGTTTTCTAATGTTTATACTTTATATCCCACCGATGCAAACATTTGGACAGATATCGATGCTCATTTTAATATAGCAGGAAAATAAAAATATTCAATATTTGGTATGTGGTAAAAGTGCATGTAATAACTGATATCTCACTCTTTCATGCTATCAATTTCATGAGATTACAAACATTTAAATTTAATATAGCAAGCATGCAGTTTCCGTGTACCCTACACTTCGCCCAGCAATTCTCATATATACCAGCTAAAACTTATTAAACGAGATATTAACTAGAATCTCGTAATTCTAACATTATATTCTATAAAATTTGACCAACTAACTTGCCGTAAAACCAACGATTGATTTCAGAGATATTTTAATCCTCAAATTATAGAGGGATCATATTTGTGAGCGTAATCTGTTAGAATGCATGTCAGCGGTAGATAATGGTGCATATAATGCATCACGTTTAAAATCAATAAGCTTTATATTTCAAAACTCGCTTGCTTCAAACGTATCAACTTATGAATTTACTTAATAATATCAGTGGTGTATGATATATAGAATTCGGTTTTCTTTCAGTATGCAGGAATGCTAGACGGTATGTAGTTTGTACTTTTACTGTCAATGAACAAATGTGAAAAGTATGGACGGTATTTGCGATTATATCATGTGATTGAATTAAGAGATATTTATCGATGCATGCGTGTGTGTCAACTTTTACAGAAATAGGATATATCTTTGAAAGAGCAGAAAAAAAGTTTAATCCAGCATGTTCATTTGTAATTTTCTGATTCGCTCTTCTCTTGATCTGCATGTGGTTAACTGGGTGTGGGCGAAAGGCGAGGACTGATTAAACTGATATTGAGGACGGTTGACACTTTTGCATCCAAATTACCCGTAATTATACACCTCCCAGAAATTCTTTAACTATATTGAATCGCATTTTGAAAATTCTTTTTCTATGTTTTGAGCCACAGCGTATGCTGACGCGTTTTCAGCTAACCTACTGGAGGTCGGATGAAGATGTTTTTCGGCCAAAGGTTCATTCAATTTAGATATCCATGCATACATGCATGCAATTTTTCAATGTCTCAAAATATGGTTGTTTGAAATCTTGTTCAGCGAAACAAATGGTTGGGCAGCTAGGGGAATGTAAAGCTTTCAGGTTGTTGCGATGCAATATTAGCCGGAGCCTTGTCGACCGCCAAATGATCATGTCATCTAAGATAAAATTTGGTAAAATTTAATAAAATAAATTCTCACTCTACCATATCTACTTTTAATTGACATGACCAATCCGTGTTGCTATCATAGTTGCGTGCGGCGTCGAAATACTAATTCACCTAATAATGCGATTTAATCAATTAAGTATGCGATGTTTTTAAGGCTAGTTTTCACGCAGGAAAGTCAGTTATCCTGATGAGATCGGACAACTGAAAATTTCTTTTGTCTGTAAGTTCTCGACCAGAACTAATGGCTTGATTCAAAGGAAACCTTCCCGGGGTTAGAGAAGAAACCAGTCTAAATACATAGCATATGGCAAATCCGATAAATACAGAGGATTAAGTCCATAGGCAAGGCCAAGGCTTTGTTGATCACGTTTAATGCTTTTGGAGATCATCATTGTCGAACAATCGTACTAAAGATATAAGTTTATATGTCAGTATTTTAACCTCATACGTCACAAGTACTTACTAATTGCTTAGTTGAGGGCCGAACCTCTTTGCGTGGTATTACCGCATTGGCATTAAAACAAGCGTGTTTGTTGCACGCTTTGTGTATTTGCAAATCAGATGTGAACCCATGGAGATAGATACAGCAATCAAACAAGATGCAAGTTCGGTTACTCCATCAGCATGTGGATCGAGGTTATATAGATGTTGTTCTAGGTTAGGTTAGGTTATATAGACGATCGACTAACCATGCAATTTGTCTTTTTCGATGTAGTTAGTATGATGAAGTCGGTATTTTTTATTGTGTTTTATATATAAATCTATGAAATTTTCCCAAATGTTGATTTTTGCCCGAGTAAAAATTAGCAGGATTAGTTAACAAGTGCCAGACTAGTGTGCAATCAAGATAATTAGGCGTATATATTACAATGACACGCAAGGGTGAATCACATGCATTCTTCAAAGTCTCCATATTGAGACAACGCAGAATTTTGCGAATACCAAATGTATAAAATGTGTCCGATTTCCTAAGAAGGTGTGCATACCAAACAGACAACTATTAGACCTCATTAATCATTCCTTTATATAACGGCCTCGTTTCCATGTTAATTTATTTTAACATGTCAGAGGCAGATCAAGATTATGTCCACGTTTTCCTGAACGAATTTGTTTGTGATAATCTTTGTTTGAATCTTCACACTATTGAACATTGCTATACAGCAATTCTTCATATATTGTTTCTACGAATGCAGTAATGAAGCACTTGAAAGCCAAGTGACAGACCACACCGCCCAATCTCGACTGTATTTTCTTTTTCACTTTGAACGAACGTGCAAAATATGTGTATCCTTTCCCCGAATAATAGGTTTTCAACTTTTGTATCATAACTCGTCAGTACGTAATATTCTATTTTTGTTGCCTTTGACGTGCTGGTGTTAATTTTATGAGATCGTTATCACTTTATCTCAATGTTCAGTCTGTGTCAGTCGGTACACCTTCATTACCGCCCCTGCATATCATATTCTATAGATTTGAAAACAACACCTGTATTTTGCCAAAAGCAATAATGACGGCTTTTGATCACAAAATCCTGTTTATATAATTCCTCGCTAAAGTCCTTTCAAGGCCTCTTTATCCGTAACTACCGTTGGCGTGGTACATAAACCAATCTCTTGCACGTGCCAGACATAAGTGACATCGGAAGAAAAGATTTTGCGCTGACCGGGAGGGCGAGAAGTGAGAATATTGAGCAAGCCATTTGGTCACAAGCGTTGGTGGAATAAAGGTTGGTTGGTTACTCAGGACTGAGTGAGATATACGCATTTAATAATGTCTGCATAGACTGTCGATGAAGAACTAGTAATCTATATTATATTATAGATTATTATCAGCATTAGTACGCCTACTACTTCAAGTTGAAATTTGTGTTTGCGTTTGTCAAGTACTCAAGGTTAATATGAGATTTCGTGCATGCAATGAGGATATCAGTGGATATACGGCTTGCTTATACTGAAAATGAAATTGCATCAGTTAATGTTTATGATATATTGCCGCAGGTAATATAAAACTATATGGAAAGAGAAAAGTAGGAAGTCTTAATTGAGACTCGTGGCTGGATATTTCTTGATATTTTTCAAGTATATACATATTATGATTCAAGTTGTACATGCAGGAAACCTTTGATTATCAAGTCTCAGTTTCCTGACGACTCTCCCTCAAGTAGAACTAGGCTAAATGTTGAGCATTATAACGTATGTTGAGTTAACGTATATACAGACGCTTTAAACACTTAAATATATCGGTCCGTGTGCTGAAGCACAGGAAAAACAATCCATGTGCTTGTAATTTCAAAATGACTCCAAGTCTTTTCCTTATATTAATTATGAAACATTTAGCCCCTTTCCAGAATTCAATAGTTTTTTCTGGTCATATTTTTGCGACATGATCATACATATATATAGGTCAATTTGCGTGCAAGATTTTCGACAACGTCAATGAATTAGAGTCGACAATATAATGCAGATGGAATATTGTCTGTATAGGAAACATTTTAAAGAAAATATATTTAAAAAGATAAGTTTAATTGCTCCTAGAAATGTATAAAATGTCTGTTTTATCACTTTCTATATAGTGATTGTTGTAGGTATCAATATAATCTGAATAACCATTGGTCTATATTTTCTCTCCCGCCAACTTAAAATGATTTTCTCGTCCAATGAAATGGCAAACAGACAAGAACGCCCGTACAAAAACGTGCTGCTGACTGATTTTAACAAAATTATTGAAGACATACAACTCTATAGTGATTAGTGACATCAATCTTATAAGGTCTGTACAATTCACGAACATGAATATATATGAATATATATATAGTGTACATGCGGTAATGTACATTTAGTGCATCTACATTCATTGTAGGCAGAGAGATTATATCGCTATTTCAAGTTACCGTAAATAGTAACAAACTGAAGCTGCATGTGCAAACTGATGCTGTGTCTGAATAACTTGTCTCACTTTTAAGAAATGACGGAAAGATAATGTATAGGAGGACCAACAGCTGTTTACTAAAGCGACGTTGGTGGCAATCAAGCTATAGAGAACAGTTTTTGTCTTATATTATCTCGCAACTTCTAAAATTCTTATCTAAATTCTTATCATACGAATTTCTGTCAATTTTTTGGGAGGCCATCATTTGATGTGTTTTGAATTCCTGAACATAACTGTTTTACCTGAGTTTATTTTTATTGACAAAGTAAGCAAATCGCTGCTTGAGTTTGATTATCACCATGAAGTGCTTAGAAAAAAATGTTGTTATAAAAACGTCTGTAAAACATTATGAAGGCAACTGTTCATGTGTACGTCATATATAATCTTATATTCTTGGATGAAATTTCATCCGCCATCCATAATTGACACAGTGTAGATGTTGAGTGAGAAGCTGTCATCACTGGGACCTCCTTTCTCCCATGCTAGTCTGACCCTGAATAGCATGCAAATTCAGTCAACAGAAGGGATCTATTGTGAAGCTTCATTGACATTGTTTCAACGCTTTCTAGAGCGACTTGCTGGAGAAAGTGATTTCATGCAAGCAAGAATACGCGACAAAGGTACAACATATTTTGTATAGTCTTTTATAACGTTTAGTGTGTCCCATCTATTAAATGTGTTTTCTTGGCATGTTCGTATGTGTCAGCATATATGAAATAATCTATTATGGCGTATATATCTATGGTCTTAATCGAACTACATTGTATATATATAAACGCATTAATAAAATGGTCATTTGGGATCGCGAGGCCGATTTCAAACATACTCATTGATACTTCCTTGGGATGCGAAGTGTGAAATTTTTATTGTCCAATTTCTAGTTTGTTCAATTAAACAAAAAAATCTGACCTTTTTCAATATAGTATTTTCTTATACGTTTTTACTGAATCGTATTGTGATATTTCGTCTAAACTTCAAACAATTCGGTTCTTAGGTATCCCGGATATTATTTGAGTGTGTTATTGGCTTTCCTGTCAAATGCAACAACTTTGAAAGAAAAAGTGTCTATACTGTCCATTAACCCCTCATTTAGAATTGCTTTATAGACATTGCTTCAGTTCCCACGCGCAGATTTTTCGTGACATGTTTAGATTAGTTTGCGCACGCTTGGGGCTTGACCTAGTGAAAGACATCAAACTTTAAGCATTTTCGCTCAACTGCACAATGCTGTCTAGACTTAGGACGAATTAAAATCTGATTGCATTCATGCGGGCAGGAGTTCATTATTTTCCCTATAAGAACATTTGAAACAACCATTGTAAATCTTTCTTGTTTATCTTGAGTAGTTCTGTGCGCGGCAGCCTTTGCGTTGGAGAAAAGTAGATGGTATCTATAAGCCTGTATAGCGGTCAAACTATATCAATTCAAAGACCAAGCGATTAACGCAGCAGGCTGAGAAACTAGTTATGGTAAAAACGCAGTACAAAAGGCTGAAAAGTCCATGTTGGAGGGCAATTTTCTCCCATTTCGCAATCATGTGCGATAACTGAAAATGCTGTGTGCTAAATATGAATTATATGATGTGTGTATTATTTTCGACTTGGTGGGGTTATATGCTTGGTGAGGTGTATTGTTTCAATGGTATTTTACGCAGCGAAGGTATGCAAAATTGGTGTGTTTTTATACAACACGAAGCTGTTTCGTCTGTTTAGAAGACCCCAAGAAGTAATACCCCTGGAGAGTATTTCATTAAAATAATATATAAGTTCGCTTGTTGACCCCGCTGGCCAGTCACAAACAAATTATGATTCGTGACTGTATTTTTAGATATTTCTCGCTAATATTTTGATCTTATACTTAAATACCTCTTTTTTAATCCGATTTGCTGACGCAAATTTTCCCTGAAAAAGGCAATGCTGAAAAATGATATTTCATTTACCTTGAAACTGCGGCCATATACCTTAAAAAATATTTTTATACTGAGGAATAACTGATACACTTTCTTTCCTATACTATTTTCGGCCTGTATAAAATTGGCTTTCACGCCTCGAAGCATATAAATAGCAATGCAAATGTGTTCAAAGTGCCACGCTTTTTTATCGCGCGTGATAGAGAAATTCTTGGCCTTCTTCCAACAAGGAGCTGGGTAGAAAAGTGTCAAAAAAAGGATTAAACACCGTAAACATCCAGTCTTTAGTCTATTATAAAGAGGTGACTATCCGTGAAAAGTGTTTTGTAAAGGTCCTGGTATAAATGGATCTGTCACTAGTTGTAAGACTTGCATTTTAAGATGGAATGTTTTTATGACGTGAAATGTGAAATAACATTTTAGTTAGCATAGATTTCCTCACTTCATTACTGACTTGACAAGTCCTGTGTTCTGATTTATTAAGACATTTTTAGATTCAAATAGCATCTTAAATTTCTCGTCAACTTTTTTTTAAGAATCTTGATGTGTCCTGTACAAAGAATATAATTGGCAGCTTATATATGTCATGGATCAGGGGCTTTCAGTGAAATCTATAATGTCTTTCACTCATTTTAATATTGTGTTTTTATCATGAGTTGGGGTGATGCAACTAGATGTTGGTCGCATATTTGTAATATAGCATATGCAATCAAAACGCGAAATCTTGTGCTGTAGCTAACGGCAGGATAACTGTGATGAGCCTTCCTTTTCATCTTAACATTGAGAATTGAATAGATGGTCGCTTTTGGACGTATCTTTATAAGGCGTACAGAGGCAGGCTCGCACGTCATATAGAGCCAAGACCCACAACCAAGACCAAATTAGTACATTATGTGAAACAAAGCCGTATAAAATTTGCTTTCTTTTCACTTTGGTCTATTTCCGATGCCAACCATCTGTTCTGTAAGTGTGGATTAACCTTTAAGGTATGTTACTGAGTTATCCTATAATTTCCGAAAAACCGGTACACTACTTTATATAGATTATATCTTATAATGTCATGTAATGTAACTAACTTATATAGTACATGAGCTAGGGAAGGCTTTGTGTGGGGAAACTGATTCGTATGTATAAAACGATCATGAAACGGTAAAATCTGTCTGCTATCAGCTATAATATAAATAATGAAGCGTGTTGTTTTCCAATATTGAAACATTATTTAGGGGTTAGTCCGCTCGCAGAGTAAGTTAAGCCGGCTGTATACAGCATGTCGAGAGCACGGTTACTCCGTTTCGCGTACATATATATAACGTCAATATAGATTTGGTAAATGGTTTGTTTTTGCTTTCAGGCTGTCTCTCCACCAGAATTTTTTACTGTCGTCATTTACAACTATAATCTTAGTCAATTTTAATTGCAAAATCTATGAATATTGTAAACAAATTTCGTTGCAAACTTTCAATTTCATATAGGATTAGTATCACATTTATATAAGGTCGAGAGCACGTATATCGATCCTGACAGTATATCAATTGTTCCAATCTTTGGATCAAAACAGTTCTTCAAATAAGCTACATTCTCTTAACCATAAACCAGTGTTAACGAGAAGCTGTGTGTTCCCAGATTATAATTATATAACATTGATTTCAAAACGAACTAGTTAATACGTGTCTTTAAAGATAGGGAAATAGTCAAATAGGAAATTGAAAAATGAAAACATGTGAGGTAAAGCCTCATTTCCTTGTATTAACTACGAATTATGCTCTCCTAAATTGTCCTCGGTATTAAACATGAATAACTGGTCATGCGGTGTATAATTGGTTATTGTCTCGATGTTGTAGCTAATTGATGGTGTATTTTTCAAAAGTTTGTAAAAAACTTCTGTTCCAATATTTAATTTTGTATTTTTTTTTCGTGGATCATGATTTAAAGAAGTTTCACTTTCCTGTGAAATGATCTTACTTACTGACTTGCAACGCGATTTTACAGACACAGAGACAGAGTGATATATATATATAATTTCAGATGAATTGGGTTTATGAATTTTAAATAGCTAGCTGATATATTGATATTTTGTTGTCGTGTCAAGAAAGTAATAAATCATGCAAAATATGATCAGCCATATTCACTGATAGTGAGAACTTAGTGCTGCACATTAATATGCACATCACTGTCTTTCTGTCGAGATTTCGTCGCAAGATGCGGAAACATTTTCCATACGCAATCAGTGCTTTTTATATATATAAATGTTGCAATTGCACGGTATGCATTACTATATTAGTATATATCTACCCTCTCAATATCTTACGCACGCTCTGTCATGTGCAGTCATTTATAGCAAGTCATTGCTTCTCCATTCATTTCTATGTCGTGTGCGTTAATGGCATTGTGCAAGCTATAGTTAATTCCTAATTTACGCGTACACAATTTCTAGTTAGCACGCTTATATGTACTTATATGTGAACACTAGGTGTTAAACGATTCCTAGAGGAGCGAATCAAACTTATCTTTGCATCGATTACCACGAAACAGGCGGCCATATCTGTGTATCATATTGTCTTCCCCGGCTTTTAAATGACTTAATAATATTTACTTTCCGCCTGATCATGATTTCAAATCGTTGTTTATAATTGTATAAACACATTATCGAACATTCGTGTTCGCCTAATCCATTAGAAATCGTTTTTTCAACCATCTTCCAATTAGTCTAACGTGAAACATCTTGCGGCAATGTTTCCCGCGTTCAGGGTCGTGCAAGATTTACAGAAATATCTTTAGATAACACGTAGATAACACGGAAGGAAATGTTTACATTGGAATAAGTAAACGTTAAGGAGATTAACACTCGAGATGCCTCCTTACTATCTGATTATGATTTCATTGTTATATCTTGCTGGCACAGACTACAGACACATATATTGTGAGCAATAAACAACATATTATTGATACAACTTGTAAATGCATAGACGTATCTTGTCAGTTTTATTTATTTATTTATGTTTTTATTAACTCTGTTTTTTATATGTCTATTATGTATTGCATGATTATAAAAAACGATCCATATATTCTAACATCGTAAATCATTTTTAACTTTCGCCGCATATTGCCCAATAATTGAGTACTATTTTAGTCGTTTATTAAACCACACGAGAATTTCTACGTCTACCAGCATGTCTGAATTCAAGTTTTTAACTTCAAGTGGGTGAAGTAGATTTAAATTCATCTCTAAGCTAGATAAAGAGTTGGTTGCTGTTTGACGCGCTTGCGACACTAAATGAGTCGAAATCACTATTGTTTTGCGATCATGCGACAGCGCATTATCATTAAAAGTGTTATATATGTCATACATACATTCATGTGCTTAAAAAGTGTGAAAATCTCAAGGCAGGATGTTTAGATATTTGCACAATGATATATATATATAAATATATATATATAACTATGCTTTAAAAATGTTCAGACTTCCTTCTGAAACTACGTCTGTTGTCAGTGTTGATGTATCTCGTACAGTTGCATGTCGTGTTGAGATTTAGTGTCATTGTAAAATTCACCGCATGGCCATGGATATCTATAAAAATTGAGTAAAAATACCCACGTAGTTCTGCGTCGTATACGTGTCCATCTCGTTCATTTTATTTTAATCAAAGGAAATTGTTTATAAACGTTCATTTCCTCGGTTCATTTGAAATAAAATGCGACAATTGCAACACG